TTCTATAAAAATTCATTTTTTTAATTTCGTTTTCTTTTTTTTTTTTATACTTACTATTAGTCCACTGTATAATAATTATTCGACATAATTATATGGAATTGTGGACAAGGACGTTAAGATTTATAAAACTTCTTTATGCATAAACCCATATGGTGGGAATATTTCATACCATGTCCTTTAACTCATTTCCACGGGAAAAGAGAAAAAAAATAAATTCCCTTTTGTATCTTTTATATTTCTTTGTCTCGTTGTAACTCTTTTGTAGTATTTTTCTCTCTCTCTCTCTCTCTCTCTCTCTCTTTTATTTTTATCTTTTATTCCGAGTTATTTTTCTAAAACAATACCACAATTTATTTCAAAAAAAAGAAAACACAAAAAAAATGAAAAACAAAAGAGAAAATCGTAATCATATTTTCATTATATTTTTTTGCGGGGTATTTCATTCAAAGATTTGATTGAAAAAATATAATCGGAAATATATTTTTATTCATCTTTTCAAAAATGCAACGTACATTAATCTTCGTTTAATCGCAAAAATTACAAGGGGGTCCTGTATGTTTTATCAGATTCACAACAATTTTCGGTTGGTTTTATTTTCTATCTATTAAAATTAAATGGATTTTTCTTTTTTCCTTTTTTTTTATTGGTCTTCAGGAAATTTAATCATAAATGGAAAAGTGATTTATATTCTATCATGATTATATTATTTTTTATTATTCTTTCATGTGTGTTGTTTTTCTATAATAAATACAAAAAAAAAGGGAGAGAGAGAGAGAAAATGACATTTATTTATTTGAAACAGCACAAACGTGAATGAAAAAAAATTGAGAATTAATACAGAAGGAGATTAAATGTTTCCGATTGAACGCCTTCGTGTTTTTGTGTGTGTACGATTGTACTTGCATGCGTGAGTACACCAAATCTTTTATATAATATGAACGAAGAGTTTTTTTTTTTTTTTTTTAACTTTTTCTCTTTCGATCTTTTTACTATTTGCTTTTTATTACTTTTTATTTCTTTTCACTTTTATGTTAGTATTTTTTCAATATTTATTAACACGTTAACCGCCACTTGTTCTTTCAACGGGACACCACATGGATAGTAAATTTACATGTGATCAACGTTACAGTTAAACAACGTGTTAACACAAACCATATAAAATATAATTAACTATCTGAAGAAAATATAAATTGATACACCATGAGATAATCAATGGTGTTACAATACAAAACAATCTCTTAATACAATAATCCCTTTTTTCATTTCTTGTCCCATTGTGAAAATGTTAATAAGAATAAAACAATTATTATAATAATAAAAAATTCAAAAACGTTACAAAGATATCCTATAAATTTATTTCGTCAATTGGTTAGGTTATATTTTTTCAACAAAACTAAAAAGAAAGAGAAAGATAGAAATAATTGAAGAGACAAAATAATAAAGAGGTAAAAAAGACGAAGGGGTGAATGTGGGCGTTGGTTGGTGCCAGTGGTGGTGCTGGTGGTTAGTGGTAAGTGGGAGGGTGGGGAGGGGGTTGGTGGTGGAAATTGTTGCGAGGATGCTACACCACTGAGGGTTACGGAACAAAGTCGAGGGATTTGGCCTTGGCCCGTGATGCCAAGCATCTAAACGTTCCTATATATATATATATATACACACATACACACACACATATATATATATATACATATATATTTCTTTTTGGATTGGAAGAATCCCTTATAAATAACGAGAAGATTCATGAATGTCTTTTTGGCTTTGTGGTGATGATGATGGTGTGGGGATGGGGTGGGCTGGGGTTTACCACCCATCGAGAGTATGGTTATCGTCATATTATCTGTGTCCCTCTGTGTTCTTATTTTTTTCATAATCACGAAATAAATTCGTGACCGTTCGAGTTATTATATGATGGACCGTTTATTTTGAAAATGGTGTAAGTCCATTTTCTGTTGTTTTGTGAAAATTCAAGATTTGAATATATTGGTTAATTTAAAAATATTTATTAATTATATCAAGTTCAATAATGTTTCTATTAATTTATTGATATGTAATTTGATTATATACATTACTTTTAGGATAATTTAACTAGAATAATTGTATATTTACAGGCTGCAATTGTACTTACATTAATTTCAAAATTAGTCAATTGTTCAAATCGTTTAATTTCATCACTTTCATAATCAATAGTTACATAATTTCTTTTACCGACCAATTTTAAATTAGATAAAGCATTGACTTTAATATATAAAATACTAACTAGAGTTATAAATAGAAAATTTACACTAAATTAAGTATAATTCATTTTTTTTTTAAATAGACTTACAACACTTTCAAAATAAACGATCCATATAATCTTCACAAATTTTCTATTATACCATATATATTTTCATATACACGTTGAAGTATAATGAAAAAGATTGTATGGAATTATAATCAGGAATAAAAAAAAAAGAAAAATAGACAAAGTTTGATCGTAGAAGGAATGAATGATCGTACGAAAAAGAAAATAGAAAAATAAAACAAAAATCAAATGATGATAGAAAAAGAAAAACTAAGTGAAGATCATCAAATAAAAAGACAGAGAGAAAGAGAGAGAAAGAAGATCGTTTGACCTTGGCCCAAGGCACCAAAGTACGTAGCTACGTTGCTGGGGGTTGCTACGTC